TGCCGGTACAGGGTTTGAAGTTTGAAGACTAACTCATGGTCGCAACATGGCGACGAGTAGAACAACGGCCGGCAATGCTCGGCCAGGTCTGCCTCGGTCTGCAGCGTCAGCACGGCGCTGATGCCTAGACTTTTAAGCACGGCCACATGGTAGAACTTGCGGGGACAGGAACCGAAGTAGATCTTGTCGGACACCTTCGAGAAATTGATCGATTGTTCGCTGCATATATTGTGGTAGAATAAAGTCATTGACAACTGGTGCCAGCTTCCATGGTCGGTGTTCGTGCCGGTGGTCACAGCCATCGTGTAATTCCAGAATGACGTCGGGATCAGATAGACGCCGTCGACCAGATCGCACTGTTGTCGCCGGTAACTACGGTTGTCCAATTCATCCCTGCCCTCCCAAAGCACGGTGCCCTTATTGTATCGGATGACGTACTTGTAGAAGAACGCTGACGCTTCGTCGCTGTGGTCGTCGTCGTCGATGCTGACCGTCACTTGCCAAAATGACATTTCTTGGGTGCAAAACGACGTTGCACTCGTCATTGCCACCGCGTGGTCCACGTTCCACGTACCCAGTTCTCTAACAGAGCCGCAGACAAGCAGCTGCGGATCAGCCGCGTCGCCTGGATATATGACGGCAAAACAATAGCGCATGACCACCGACCACCACAATGTACGACAATCACTGAACTGGGCGCTGCCAACTTCTGTTCGTTAAATTTCCGTTCCAACTGGTGTAAAAAAGCTTCACCAAACCAATAACATATAATGAGCGACTAAACAAGCGTTCCTCATCGAAAACAGTTCACACATAAACTCAAGCAAGCCAACCAACCAACCACTGATACAAGTGCAGAAACTGCTGTCACAGCGGCGTATGTTACGATAACAGAACGCTTGGTGAAGACGAACAATCAATCAGTAAGAAATTGGTCGTTAGTTGGCAAAGTCTGACGTTCACAACGCGTCCTGAAATGACGATCGTCAGGCAAACCCGCTAGGTAAGCAAACAAAGTCGTCTTGTCATCCGTGATCACGCACATCTACCACATCAGTAGGCACACGAGGAAACTACTGCAATTACCTCACATTCGCACGCAAGCACCTACATAACCTGGAAGTCACCGACGAATACCGGTAGTAGATGCAACAGGCGTGCTTCGCGAAAATGTATTTTTACACCACAGAGAAACGTGTATCTCGGCGCACTTGTCGTCATAATAATAGCACACCGGAAAAAACAGGCCCTTCATTTACTCGCCTTTAATATTTGCAATCATAGGCGAAGAGCAAAGGAACTCCAGGTAACATAAAAGACTCGAAACGCATCTATGCATTACTATACTTTATTACGTGCTTAAGCAACCCACATGGCATATGGTAGATAAAGCACAATGATATAACGCCGTAAAGCTCGTTCAGTGGAATCACGCTGATTTTATGACATTGCAGAAAATGACGGCAAAGTCACGGGTATCGCGTATTGCTAACTGCAACAAACAACCGGACAGCAGTCACTACTTAAACGAATCGGAGCAACATAATTATATTAACAGCTACAACAATAAATTAAACAATAAGTACAGAATAATAAATTGCCTCAAATCTCCGTTACATAAGATATGGCGCTTCGAAATTATTCAAAACATAAAGAAGCGATAAACATTTTAAACAGAGTCGATCAAGTGACTAGCAACTTGACGGTAGCAACTGTAGCTGACGGTAGCAACTCTTCCAAAGAGCTTACCTAACTATTATATGCTGAGGAGAGATCATAATTACGGTATATGTGCTTGATTTCAACTTAATTTTCTGTTCCACACCGTTGATTCAAGACCAGTTGCAACTGATTTTAGAATACTTTGGAAAACATATTTGCATTTTATACTTATATTTTGATATCTATGTTCCTAAATGCAACATACCGTTTGCGTTAAAAATAATAAAGAATAGCAATCTTCGGCTCACTTTATGAATGACAACCAAGGGTCTTCGATTAACAGGTCAAACTGCGTAAATCAGGTAATCTACGTTGAGCTATAGTGCCATTAAGTGGAACTGTAGCTCATAAAGAGGGTGTGGAGACAAAGTAGAAAGGAAGCCAGCTATGAATTCCTGAGTTAGCAGGCACCAATCCGCTCAAGAAAAATCTCAATCGCAAATTTCCTTGACTTAGAAATTAGCCATACGTTGATTCGTAGCAATTAGCCGAGAAACGGGTAATAAATCGGAAATATCCGAATAACTAGGATTAGGTATGGTGTTTTGGCCTGGTCATGGCAAGATTCACGAAGTAGGCAGCCATCCTGTCCGAGACAAGCGCCTCGTGTGGCTGCACCTCGTCCTGACCCAACAAGCAATTATTCATATTCAAGTTGGTCACACAGAAGTTGAAGCACACTGTTATAAAATAACGTTGATCTTTATCAAAAAACGGAAGAAATTACGTAAGGTGAATGTCAACATGCATCTTTCGACATTGCTATTTGAAAAAATGATGCGAGTACCAATAGATGACATTCCATCTCATCAAATAGACAGCACTACGGATAAATCGAACGATAAATCAAGCAATTTCAACAGACTTTCACTGGAAGATTAATAATTGATATGACAAGTGGTTTTTGAAAGCAGGTTAATTTTCAGAAGTTTGGGAATTCCATGGTATGTCTGATACTCTCTGCGGCACTTGCATTTGTAAATGGATCAACTTCAGACATTCATGCTGCAAAAATTTTCGTATTCTACAACTGGTAGCGTGCACAGAGATGCAGATGAAAATTTTGCGGTGTCTAAAGCTAATGCTTTCCTTTATCGTGCGGATACGTACTTCAAGAGAATATCTGGAAATGAACTATCTTTGGTGTCTACCAGGGTGAAAAGGAAGTTGGATTAAGAACTGTTACAAGGTCTCCCACAAAAACTTAACCATCTACACCTCATGGTATCGACGTTATCAAGCGTCATTTTTGCTGGGTCGGCGCACAGGTTAGAAAAGGCTATATAAGATGTTGTGAATCTGAGGCAAACGGCGAAAAATCAGAAATCAGAACCTCCTTCAATCCTTCTAATAGATGGGGGCGTAACACTGAAATGACGACTACCGATGACAGCGAAGATACAAGACAATAACGGAAACGCCACCTTCTTTGAACGGGAGGCAGGCAGCACCACGGTAACGACACCGACAGTCCGAAATTGGAATATCTCCTTGAGTGGGAAAGAGGAAGAATTGGGTCCTGAGGGGGCAATGCGCCAATTAAACAGAGTTTGGCTCTCAGCAAAAAAGCATTAGGGTTCTAGAATTATGAACTTCTGCACGCTGAAGAAATGATACTTAGGTGCCCATACGATTATACGCGCTCAAGCAGG